TTTCCGTGCTCTGGGAGTTCTGCAGTTCTTCGTAGGGGCCTTCAACACCGCAATTCCAGCCTTTAGGGTCGGTCGTTTCACCACTATTCGTCTTAAAGCATTCACTATTCTTGTCAAACTCTCCGTGTTATTATCGTGCCCTGAGGTGTTCTGCAATGCCGTCGTAGGTACCTTCAGAAACACATCTCCAACATCTTACAGCCACTTGTTCTCATGCTACTCCGTATCAAAGCATCGACTTGTCTGGATAAATCATCTAAACGAGCCATCAATTGGTCCCCGGTCGTGGACTCGCACAGCTCTGACTGGGTAGCGATCTTTAAGAGTTGCTTGCTGGGTGCCTCCAATTTCACGGCGTACAACAGAGCACTTTTACATCTTTTCATCTGCCATTCGTAGAGCCTTCTGTATTTCGGGATCCCGGATTCCATCGATGAAATATTGCAGGGGACAGGATTTCCTGTTTTGTCGGGCACTCCGAAAAGGCGTGATGTGCAGCCTTTCAACATCCGTGGCGAGTTTCTGGAGTGATTCGGTGGACTTCTGTTACGGGATTTTAATTGAAGCCTGCTGTAGTTCTTTTAAACACTTCTCGCCAAAGCGCAGCTCCAATGCGCCGGTTAGAGCTGCGAAGTCAAGTCTTTGGTTTTCTGGAAGGTCTGCAGGATATCCGCTGCGTCTGCTCTCAGCGAGCGGCGAGATGAGGCCTTAGTTTGGGAATCCCATCCATTCGCATCCGAAACGATAGAAAAATGTGTTTTATACACTTGCCAGGATGTCTTCCATCAATGTGGTAACTTCAGAGATGGACGAGCAGGCATCGGTAAGAATTAAAACTCTCAGGAATTGCTTCCTCTGTCGCTATGCTCTTCTTAAACTGTCAATCTTTTGCAACAGAGCAGAAACCCTCCCAATTGTTGTTGGACGGCAAAAAAACTCTTTTTTCAATTTGCGCTCTACCGCAGAAACTCTTTCTGAATTTCTCCAACTTTGTCTTCAACGTATCCATTCTTCCTTCATAGCTTGGAACTTGTTTTCTATTATGCAAGTAATTTCTCTCTTCAATTCCTCTTGACTACTTTCATTTCCTCCTTAATAGATTTCATCTCTCTTCTAACGGATTCTTCATTTTTTTCTGACTAGCTTCCATCTTTTTTCTTCTTGGCCCAATTCATTTCTCCTTTAACGGATTCTGCCCAACTTCATTTTCTTTAATGGATCTAAATTCTTCTTTAACAGAGTCTTTCATCTCTTCTTTAAATGTAGCAAAGACTGCCATGAATTGTTTTAACTGTTCTTCCATCGCTCTTGTGATTGGCATTCAATACCCCACTCCTGACACCAAAAATTGTTGCGTGCGTACGGGTTCGTTATGAAATGAATGCACAAGTCCGATGAAAAATGAACAAAAATTTATTATTATCACAACAAAAATGCTTAAATTTTCTCAAATTATCATGCAGTATTACAATATCTCACAGTAGTTATCTTTTAACTACTCAAATGTCCAATAGAACGTAATTCAAAACAGCTAAAGAACGCTAATCCGCGAATTCGCTACAATCAACAAGAGCAGTTTTCTAAACAACAACAAACTAAGCAACTACTACAAACTGAGATGTTTTCCTCCTTTTATAAGATTTTAAAATCACGCGCTAGGATTTTCCAGTACTTTCTCGAAATTAAAAAGAGATATTTATTTATTTAATGCACGCGCTCTTGTATTTTCAATTTTCCGGCTTAGCTTTCTTTTAATATTCGTCACGCGCTGCACTGCGCGAGAAATAAAACCATTTAATTTATAATTGAACTAACATTAACTTTTTAAATACCAAATTCGTAACAATATTTAAGAAAATAAAGCCTGTAGCCCAGATTTTTACCATCCCGTACAAAAAAAAAAAAAAAAAAAAAAAAAAAAATTAGAATTGTACGGAATTTTCTCCTTCTCTTACCTTGTGCCTTCATGGTGCAATTGGAAGCAAATCCGGCTAGCAATCAGAGGGTCTGAAGTTCAAATCTCGGTGAGTGCATTGATGTTTTCTGTTTCTTACTCTAGATTACATCTAGTGACTACACAGAATCTATTTTCCAAAAGTCTTTAGAAGTAATAACAGTTTCCTCCTTTTGGTTACTATGTACAGGATTATGAACTATGTATGATATTTCCTACAAATGTTCTAGAAATTAAAAGAATACACTTGCTTTCTAAAATTATGCATTTTATCATTTATTGTTAAAAATACAATAACCTCCAAACTAATATTTGTACCTATATACCCCCTCCTCCAGGATAGTCCAGTAACTTAAAAATTATTAGAATTAATTTCAGCTTCTTCATAGCTTCAAATACAGTCCTCATTTCAACAAATTTTCATATTTAGTTTAAATTCCACACAATAGCTATAGTTATTTAGTGCAGAGGTCTCAGATTTTTACAGCATACAATATATTAAACACTAATCATTAGATGAGAAATAAGGATTAGTTTTTCAAATCAAATTTACAGTTAATATAATACAGGTATATAGGGTCACTCAGTTACGTGCATACAAACTTCTGAGAGGAAGAGGTTGCAACAAAGACAAATCAGTACTGGACACACCATTATCATATCCGATTGTAAAATTTCTCACATAGTCTTTCAGAATACCATTATTTGCAAACCTCCCACAGAGATAATAATATGCCTTAGTTACTACTTTAAGGGTTACCTCAAAAGACTAGAGCGCAATATTCCCGTTAGAGTGCTGAAGATGCCGCCCAGATGGTATAGTGATTAGGGGAGCCTACTGTGGTACTGAAAGACCCGAGTTCAAATTCTGGACAAGGCATCGATGTCTGTAAATGTACAGTGTCTCTGCGGCATGGGAGCACTTCCAATATATGGAGAGCCAAACGTCCTCTCGTGTGTTTGGTGGTAGGGAAGAGGGGTGGGAGACCTTCAGACCACTACCCAGTGTGATCTTCCTCAAATCTGGAGTGGAAGTAGAAGTCCAACCTCCTTGAGGCTCTGGCAACCATTCTTCCATGGATGGACAAAACAATGACAAGTGATAAAGATTCTCATAGCACAGTGGCTCCAGAAATCCAAAACATACCTAAATTTTTTTCTAGAATACGCATGATTCCATACACCAACAATGCCAAACATGCATTCGAGTTCACGACTGTGAATAAAAAAAAGTATTTTGTTCTCTTACATGCAACTTTTATTTCTCATCCTACCTGTACACGAACAGATGGGTATGGCATTTCTGACTCTGCACTGCTAAACGATTCTTACTCATCTTTGTGAAACCTACCTCTCCTAGAAGTTTGTATATGCTTAGTTGAATAATTCTGTACAATCTTAAATATGTTTGCAATTAATATGTTAAATCAAAACATTTTCAGATTCTGAAAAGCAACATATATATATATATTTAAATAAGAGAGCTGAAAGAGCAAAAAGTTTAAGATAATAAAATTATACAAAGTGCATAATTAAAAACATGTTATAAAATTTAGATAAATAAGGAATAGGCAACACACAACATTGGAAAAATATTTAATTAAATTCCTTTTGCTTATGAAACAATGAAACATGCTTCAAAATAAATATACATCAGCAAATGAAATTCCATCCAAGTAATACACATACAGAAGATTTAATTCATTATTAAAATTTTGTTTTGCATATGGTTCTAATTTTTTTCTTTTTAATTACCTATCCTTAATCAGGTATACTCCTCTTGATCTATGTATTTTTTTTCCTCCTCGATTACAAATATAAATGTCAGAAGGCAACAAAATTAAAAAAATAAAAACATACCATATTCACTACCCATTTTTTACTAATTTTATCATAAGGAAATTGAGAAAAGGAAATATGCAAATAATTTAATTTCTGAAAGATGCAGGGCACAAATGCTTAAAAAAAAAAAGTTCAGAACCTGGTGTTAAAGCTATAGGGAAAAATATGTGAGTAAATATTGTATATCATTAAAAACAGAGAGAGAAACAATAAGCCTATATCAAAAAAGTAATATATTGTACAGTCCCCTTTTCTTTTTTATAAATTTTTTGTGAGCGAGATTCTGAGAGTAGCATATACTTAATGCTTTACGTATTCGAAGTGAGATTTTTCATAATAAAACATGTACAGGATCCTGATTCTTAGTTTCACTTCACTAAATAAAATACCTCCATGTTATAGGAATACAATCATTTATAAAAAAGTCTGTGTGATCAATAATTTGATTATGTAGTCGCCTTATTTTTTGGCATTTTTGTCAAGCCAAAACATTCTATCAAAATTTATCGCTGATTTTCGTGCCTACTGTAAATCATATAACACAGAGGTATGAAGGTTTATTTTTTGAGTTTTGGAAAGTAAGGGAGAATGATCTTCTAGCAATGGTGAAAAGAATGCATGGGGCAAAAAGCAAACCTATGGCAACCTAGCAAATCATTTATTATTATTTTTTGCTTTGATCATCACATCTCACTGCAGCTTGAGAAATGACGCAAGCAGAGCAGTCTAAAACAATTTTTATTTTAAATATCAGTAACCAAATACCAAAAGGCATGTTATCCTTTTATAAATACTATATATTCGGCAAGAATTACTTTGTGATGATAGCCAAGAAATTTGAAGGTGTCTGGATATTGCAAACAAAAAGCAAAATTTTCAAATTGATGGAATTTGTGAAGAAATGTGAAAAGGTGTTAATAAATTAAAATGATGTAACATAAATATTCCACTGTGATGACAATGCCCCAATAATCAATGATCTAATGGACAGCAAAATCTGCAGTATGGTTAAAAATCCAGAAAACGTCACTACTGTAGACAAAGTGACAGAACAAAAAAAGTCAATTGAGAATTTAGTGGAAATTCTCAACACGGTAATTACGGGACTTGAACATGGTACTGAAGGAAAAAAAAAAAAGTATTAGCATAAAACTGAAGCATCTTAAACAACTTAAATTGACAGAAATATTTAATACAGGAGGGGGGAAGAGCTTGTTTTGTAAATTTTGATATCCTTAAGGTCCTGAATACTTCATTAACTACTATTTCATGTTTTTAATTTTATAATTTCTGCATGTCACCTTATTAGATTTAAACCAATGATCTGAAATCTGGAAAATTCCCAAATCCGGAATTGTCAAAATTTCAATGAATCTTTATTTCGAGCTTTGTACTGTTCGAACTTTGTACAGTTTGACACAAAATATAAATTATTAATTTTATCATACAGGCTCCGAGATAATGAAAAATCAAGTATGAATTAAAAGTTTTCTGAAGCTACCAAAGCTTTTATAATCACTTGAAAAAACAATAAGTAATGGGCATAGAAGAGGCCCACAAGTTCAGAAACAGAAATATATAGTACTGGATCTTATGCCTCAAGATCTTTGGTAGAAGCATATGCATTCATACTGCTGACTTACTTGAAAAATGCAGTAATGTAATGTAGCAACAATGTAATTTTCTACAAACATAATCTTTGTTACTTACTGGTCTTGACTGCATATACTAAAGTCTCAACAGAGCTCATTAAATCTAATACACACCAGTTATTGATAAAAATGAAGCATGAGTAGAAAGCTACAATAAAATTAATTCTGACTGAAAACAATATTATATTCTTTAGTATTTATGTATGTTCTCAATTTTTAACATTTCTACTACAAGAAAATGGCACCTCATCTTTTTATTTAATCTATTCCATCAAATATGCAGTTTACCAGAAACATGCAGTTTAAAAATTAATGCAAATTACCATCCATTTGTGAAATAAGTAAGAATGCAATGAAATATTTTCCAAAAGAATGAACTTTTCTACTAAAGAGTTTGATACTTCTGAAATTATGCCATCCAGATGAGAAAGCGATTAGTAACTCTGATTGCCATACCTAGGAGACCATGTTCAAATCCCGAAGAAGGCATGGATGTAAATTGTCTGTTCCTTCACAGGAGGTAATGGTGACTGCCTAATAGGTGCCTCTATAATCAAATTACCACCGATTTTGACCTTAGAGCTGGTCAAAGCCTAAAATGGTTAGTGCCACCACTGGGGGGAGACTTCAAAATTATATTTTCAGATGTCTTTAATGAAGCAATATTATGATATTAAAGCAGTACCTAAATACTTTTCAAGCAAAAAATGTATTGCAACAATACACGGTATTCAAAATTAAAAATTAAGTGTTATTTTTCAGGTAATACATGCATTTGCATTTTCAGTCTGTGCAAGATAAATTCCCAAATACATATTTTAATTAATTAACTAATTCTTTTATGTAAGACTGCATCATTAACCATGACTTATTTTCCATTTAATATTAAAAAAATTTGTATACTTCATTTTTTTAAAAAGAAAATGATACGGTAATAAGTCTGAGAGTTAAATATTTGATTTTAATTACTTTTACAATTGTTAACTAAGCTGCTCCTTTTAATTTATTCACAAAAATTGAATTTAAATCCACATTTGCATGATTTGATTCCTTATGATAATCTAAATGAATATAATGAAACATAATTTAAAAAATCAATCAAGCACTAGAGTATATAAAAGCATTCATTTATTCATTAGAATTCCTAATTTAAAAAATACACCCTATACTACTAATATTTAAAAATATGAATTCACTTCTTAAGAACAGATATATGCATGTCTTTTTACATAAGTTATTTTATATAATGCTTGTTTATATATGTTTCTGCTCAGTGGTTACAAACTGTCAGGAAATATAAAGTATACCTAGATGATGGAAAACCCCATAGTATTGCATTGTCAACACTTTCCTGGTACGGTAGTGATGACATAAAACGCAAGAAAGGAAGCACCCACAAGCAACAAGAGCTTGGGCAGCCTAGAGATGGTTTTCAGTTAATGTATGAACCGGCATCTAAGGGACCACCTTGTCGGGCTATACTTGTTGCCTCTACATCTGACAGGTGCAACCTATCTCATCTTTCTTCAGCAAGTATTGCCGTAATTATTGGACGACACACACGTACCTGCTGCAATGCGTTCTGCCATGTGGTTTCAACATGATGGCGCCCCTCATATTACAGCCTTGATGTGCATCTCCACCTGAAGGTAACATATCATCAACATTGAATCGGCAAGGGTGGTCTGGTGCTTTGGGCACCGGGATAACCAGACCTCACTTGCATTGACTACTTTCTCTAGGGATAAAAACACTGATATACAAAAACCCAGTTAACAGTGCTGAAGAACTTGTTGCATGTGTCTTAGCAGCTGCTGGGGAAGTCCGAGACATGACTAGTATTTTTCGTAACATCAGATCTTCCATGTGCGGGAGATGTGAGAGACCTGCATCATGGTCGGGGTTGTGATTGTGAACACCTTCTTTGAGAGCAATTGTTGGCTGTTTTTATTCTAATTTCTTAGTTTCTGTTACATTAAGCATACAAAGCATGTTCGTGCTCTTCCTTTTTTGTGTCGTCATTACCATGCATGAAAGCGTTACTGATCATGTATCATTATGTGATTTTCCATCACTTACGTGTATTCTCCTGAAAGTTTGTAACTGCTGTGCTGAAACACCCTGTATATACACAAGTATATATAATTTCCACTAAATATAATGAAATGATATGGCAGATCTGTTCTTTAGACAGAAAGTATTTAAAGTATTTCAATAACCTACATGCTCGGAAAAAATTTTAATGCATGTATGTTTTAAAATACATATGGCTTCAAATATTACTAGAAACCATAGCATCAAACTAAACAATAGAACACCAAATTATAACTGATGACCCATGTGTAATAATGTATATAAAATATTTTCATCACATATGCATTGTATATAACAATTAAATAACAAAAATCTTGTTCTCAAACACTTATGAGGTTTTAATTCTATCACTGCCAAAGCTAAAAATTGCTGAAAGACATAAATATGCATCTAACAGGCACTATAAATAATTTATTAAATTCAATATACTTTTAACATTTCTTATATTTTTTGGTTTTGCTTATTTTAAACAGAGAAATGCAGAATGCAGCCAAAAAAATTTCTTTTCTAATATTTGTTTTGGAAGAACACCATCTAAATACAAAAAAGAAGGGCAGATAAAATAATTTACATCTTTTTTAACAGAATTGTTAATGCAGAGTTAAAAAACAAAAGTGCATTAACATATGCATAATCAAATCACACATTCATAATCACACATACGAAATGGGAAAACAAACTCACATCAACATTTCATAAAACTAAATCAGAAAAATAAAAATATGCATAGACAAATAAAAATTAATTTCTTGCATCATTTACTGTCTCATTTATTGCAATGAATAAAACATTGGGTTTAAATATAATTTAAAAAAAGATAAATAAGACTTTTAATTGATATGCTGAACAGTTATGTCTACTGTTACTCTAAATTATAAAAAAGCATCCTCATTTATTACTACAGTAAAAAAAAAAATGAAAGTTATTATTAATTACCTAGTAAACATCAACAAAACCTGAAGTATCTCTTAGGTCCAAATATCTGGTCTAACAAATAAAAAGATTAACAATACTTGGAACTAATTAATATGATTACTATATTGATACATTGAATGATACCACAACAAAATGTTAAAATGGTACTGAAATATGATCAAATATTCTCATGTTCAGAAATGACATGTATTTACACTATAATAAAAAATACATATATATACATCAGTTTTCTATGAATTTATAAATAATTTTGAAACACAGCCATTTATAGCAAAACTTCATTTAAAAAATGCAAAATTTCCCAATTACATGGAGTTTTCAAAGAATCGTGCTGTTATATATGCATTTTAATTATAAAATAAAGAAAACCAAACTTCAAGAACTATTTCCTCTTCATTTCATACACTTATTAGAACAATAAAATAAAACCTTTCTCTAGTTTTCAAATAAAATTAATCATTATCAAAAGATAATGATGAATTTTAATAAAAGATAGCAGTAATACTCATGTGATGAAACTGACAGAAACATTACATTATGCTTGAAGTTAAATATGTTTCTTGCATTCGTTTGAATGAAGCAACAGGAACTAGTTGTTATCAAAGTTATCAAGCAAATTTTATCAACATATTAACAATTTGATATAACCGAAGTACACAGAATATCTGAATTATACTGATTATATTAATAAATAATTATTACAAGCATTTTATCATTTTTGCATATAACAGTTCAATAATCAACAAATATCTAGTAAAAAATGCCCCCTCTTACAAAATACAGTAATTCATTTTAATTCATATCATTTTACACATGAGAAATTTGAAATGGTAACTATGTTAGAAAATGAGCTTATACAATATGAATTTTAAAATTTGAGGAACAAATACTTTTGTTTAACTCTGATCAATAATCATGTTTTTCACATGTACTTAAGTTTTAACCTTTTATTTAAGAACTTTACTTTTTCAGTTACATGTTTATTTGATTTTAAAATGATAACATTTTATAATCACTTCCACTACAATTTAAAAATGATATAGAAAACTGCAGGAATTCTGGGATGATGATGAAAAAGTACTACAAAACTTTTGCATCTTACTATTATAAATAGAAGAAAATCCACTCCCAATAAGGAGAGATGACTTACTGATAATTCATCTTTATTGATGATAAGTGTTATCAATCATACATACATGCCAGGTGAATTGGCAAGAGAGTCAGAAATTATGAGTATGTAAATTCTTTTCTTAAAATATATCAAAGTAATAGTTTCTAAAATTGCAACACATATTTATGGATTATCAGACTGGTTAAGCTACTTTTAAATATGTAAGAATTAAATCTAGAAAAATTTTGAAGAAATGCTAGATATGAAATGTAAAATTTTCTTTTATACCACCTTTCAGTTTGATCTTTTACGATTTCAGTATCAGTAATTTTAATGATAATGTTAGTAGTGATGCAACAAACACAGCACAGAAGAAATGAATCTTTACATTATTTACTACACTTGATATGCAAAAATATTAATTTAGGTAAAAGTACAATTTATGAATGATGTGCAAATGATAGAGAAAAATACAAAATTAGAAAAACATGACATAATACTAGTTAGAAGAAACAAACATATCACATAAGTAAGAGTGGTCCACAAAAAATAAATACTTTTACCATACAACCAGAAACAACAACCAAAGGAAATTATACCTTACACTATTCTCACAATTTCTATTTTGGTACATTATGCAAACAGAACATTTCTGATTGTCTGGAAGAGAGACCAGTATGTACTTATATGATTTAGAGAATAAAGAATAATTTTAAATAAAATTTGAATAGAAAGGGAAATAAATGCTAGCAAGAATGTAGTTCCAGCTGCTTTTGATTTTAAATGGACTCTGAGTATTGTGTCAACAAAATATTAACAATCATAAAAATATAATTATATCAACAAAAACATTTTCCAGATAAATAACTTTATTTACAATACTTTTATTTACCATATTCTTTCATTTGTGTACAAATCATTTAGGGTGTCACATGAAGGTGTCTTAAGGCCTTTTGCTTTCTCTTCTAGAGTTCTATCCCGGAAATTTCTAGCTCTCCAAATCATACTTTCCTCTAAGGAAAAAGGAAAATTGAACAATATGAACTAATGAGAACAAGCCAAAAATGCTTTGGTTTACAAACAGTATGAAATGATAAAAATGTGGTACTGATAAGGATGTAAATACACTAATCATGCTTTCTTACTGTAATTTTTCTCCTTAAAACAAGAACCTCTTAAATTTGCAATAAATTCTTCTTCCACTTGGGCTTCAAGCTTACGTATGCTTCCTTGATAATCAGTAGCAAAGTTTTCTTTCACAAAATATGGCACTTTTAAATTGCTGGTTTTACGTTCAATTGAATACTTCCTAATAAGAGAAAACATTGATTCATTGACACATTACATAAAAATTAAAAATATAAATACAATACTAATAAAGGATTTTATTCCTCAATATTCTTTTGATGATGTTTTCCCTTAATGACATAATTTTCTTTTCCATATATATGAACTAAAGCCCATTTAGATTGACTTTTTTTGGAAAAATATACAGTTTTATTATCAATTAAATTAGAAGAAATACTAATAAGTGGGGAAATAATGTATTATGAAATCAAAATAAACATACTTTGATAAAGTTTAACTATTTAACAAAACCTATATGAGCAAATGTAACTAAATACATTCAACTGCATTCCCCAAAAAAGTCTGCATGCAATGCCACAGAAAGTATTCTCTATCATTGTCAAATTTAAAGGAGGGATTTCTGCTCAAAACACTAATCTGAATACCACTGAATCATGCTGGGACAATATTTAAAAAACACCAAATTGACTTCAATTCATAATGCATGATTCAGGTTACTGAGCTATTGAACTCTTTACAATGTTAAATATATTAGCAATTAACTAGATAGCCTAAATTTTATGTTCTTTGTGTACTTTCATTTTTTAAAAATTTATTTACGATTTTATACTGAGGGAAATCCCAAATAGGGAAACTTTATTTATCAAAGTACTTTTAAATATGATTAAACTAAAATTAATAAATAATCCACATAGCATTTGTGTGGATAAACTTAGTAATGTACTACATACTGAAGTAAAATAAAATTACAATAATTAAACAATTCTTGGATCTTCATAAAAAATCTAACAATATCTACAATAGATTACGAAAACTCAGATCAAATGAAGATCAATAAAAATTTAATGAAAAGGTAACAATTTAAATTAAATTAAATTTAAATTAAAAATTATTCTGAAAATCACTAGAGGTGGGGGAATGAAATTTACCTAATTTAAGTTTAATTAATTCAATACATTTTATGTATTGATGTGAATTTTTTTTTTCAAAAGGTTAAAAATTTAAAAACGAAAGATTCGGTGATTTACTGGGAAAGTTGGCAGCTATGATATGTCTATCATTTATATTTTTGCTTAAAATCTAAACAGTAAAACTAAGAGCAGCTTCACTTGTTTCGCTAAAAACACAGAATATTTATAAATATGAATAAAAGCATCATACATCTTAAGACACAATAACACGCCGAATAAATACTAATTCAGAAGTCAAACAACAAAAATCAGCGTTGCAGCTGAAGATGATGGTTCGGTAAAACCATCGAAACTAGTCCTGTGAAAATTTTGTAGGTATAATGCTGATTTTTGTTGTTTGACTTCTGAATTAGTATCATACATCTTAATTTATTATTTTCAGCATAATGTTTTATATTATTTAGTTTAATTTGATTAATCTTTTATTCTACTAGCTGCCACTTAAACCAGTTACAAAAAAGAAATCATATATATATATACATAAATATATATACATAAAAAAAATCTGAAAGGTTTCAGTTTTTAAATTACGTCCAAAGAGGCATTTTTTTAACATTTTGTGTGTTACCTTTATATATTAAATATCACGCTCTTTGCACTTAAACCATAAAATTCAGTTCAAGAGTAATATCGCAAAATAGTTTTAAATTGAGCATATCTTTAGAATTTACGATACAGAAGCTCGCCTGCTGGAGATAAAAATTCTTTTTCTGTACAACGTTGCCATTGCTCGTTTTGAAATCCTTGAGTTTCTTAAGCAAAAATTCGTTTAAGTTTTACAAAATATGAAATTGATAATAAAACAAATTCCAAATTTCAAACTTGGGCTTCCACATGACCATATCAGCAGTAGGATTAAGTCATTCAAAATTCGATGGCTGTATGTACCATTGTTTTATCACAATGTGAGAAATATACATACATTTGGGCAGATTTTTCATTAATTTCTTCAAATATAATGCAGGACTCTAACATTTGGTGGCAACAGTTTGAAAAGTGAAACGGACATTTAAAAAACCAAATCACAAAACGAAAAATAGTCTTAGGGACAAAGCCCTTTGGACTAATGTATATATGATTTAATAAATTAAAGTAATTTCAAGAACATTTAAATTAAAAGTTTTTTAAACCCTTTGCGGCATGGTGGGTCAATATATGTCCCACCTAATTAATATTTATTTTCAGTTAGCAATTTCCGTTAGAAATTTTCTAATCTTTTAAAAATAATCTATTTTAGTTATTATTTTTCTCAGTAGATGTTACTACTATACCAGGGCTTAAGTTTATAAGCAAAAAATATTCAAAATAGGATCACAAGAGTGATATCCATATATCTCGCATTTTTCAATATTTTAAAAATTTTGGTATACAATTTATGATATGTATGATTCTTTTTTAATATTCAAAGGTATTTTATTTTCAAAAATCTTAATTGGATTCAATATTTTATAACATTAATTTTGCAGTTGAAATAAGTGGGTTAAAATTTGTCCCACCACACACTTGAATTTCCGCTCAATAGATGGCAGCACTCACGATTATTTTTTTCTTTTCTTTTTTGCATCTACTTTTTTCGTGATTGCGCGCGCTTTTACATCCGTTGTATGCTCTGATGTGCTAAAATGTCTAGAAAAAAATTAACAACTCAGGAAGCTTTGGATCTTTTTGCTGAATTGCCATCCGATTGCGACTCAAATGCTTCAGATGTCAGTTTCTGATTCAGATGAAATTGAAATCCAGGAGAGAATAACTGAGGTTGAAGTTATTGCTGAAGAAGAAAGGGAAGTGAGAACGAGGCTGAATTTGCAGAACCCTCAGAATCTTCTGTTTGCTGGAACAAAAAAGAAGTTGATATTTCACTACCAGAATTCAAAGATTCGGGACCGACAGGTGAGATTTTTAATTTGGATGATCCAACACCTGTAAATTTATTTTTAAGTATATTCACACTTAAGTTCATTGAACATATTGTTTTTCAATTAAACTTATATGCAACACAGAAAAACAGTGTATTTTCCCCTCTTGATAGTAACGAGTTTTTGCGATTTCTCGCTGTAAATTTGCTAATGGGCGTAAAAAAGTTTCCAAGTTATCGGGACTACTGGAGAAGTACTCTACTATTACACGATGATTATATAGCAAACATAATGCCTGTCAACAGGTTCAGTTGGATATTGAGAAATTTTCATATAAATGATAATTGTTTACAACCTAAGAGAGGGGAAGCTAATTTTGATAAGCTATACAAAATACGCCCTCTTTTAAATCATCTCTCAGAAAGGTTTATGGCAGTTTTTAATCCTAATGAAACTCAGGCAGTTGACGAATCAATGATTCGCTTCAAAGGGAGAAGCAGCCTAAAGCAGTATATGCCTAAAAAACCCATCAAACGCGGTTACAAAGTATGGATGCGATGTGATGTCACTGGATTTGCATGCCAATTTGAAATTTATACTGGCAAACTCGGTGACTCTGTCGAAAAAAATCTAGGCAAGAAAGAAAGTAGTGAAAACTTTGTGCCAGCCTCTTTAAAGAACCATCAACTACTTCAGTAGTTATAATTTGTTTCGCTTTTTAAAGACACAGAACATCTATGCATGTGGCACTGTAAATATGAATCGGAAGTATCTACCCAAAAATTTAAAAGAAGACAAATTTATGTCAAGAGGAGATATAGACTTTTCAGTTAGCGATGATTCAATTTATTGCATAAAATGGAAGGATAAAAGATCCGTTTCTATCCTGTCTTGCTTGGAAAAGGCAACTGAAATGAAAGAAATTAATAGAAAAGAACGAGATGGAAAGACAAAAAAAAAAAAGTACTGTGCCCAAACAGCATTATTTCATACAATAAGAATATGGGATATGTCGACTGATTGATCAACTGAAAGGACTATATGAAATAGACCGCAAAAGCAAGAAATGGTGGCACATGATTTTTTTTTTACTTTTTAGATGCGAGTATAGTAAACACATTTATTCTATTTAAGTTTGTTCGCGAACCTGATCATGATGTAAAAACAATGAAAGATTTTCTTCTCTCAGTTATAGAAGGTCTAATGGCACTTGCAGGCAAGAAAGAGCTGAAAAGAAAACTGAAATCCCCAGTTCAAATAAAAACTAAAAAAACCCGTTCGTACAACCAGAAAAGAGACTAAAAAATGTAAGTCAAAACGCCAAAGAGAACGAGCAGGAGAAGATGTGCATATTGCAGCACATCGAAAGAAGAACGACGAACATTTTGGATGTGTGAAACATGTGAAGTGCCTCTATGCTTACAAAAGAATGAAACAACATGTTTTTCAAAGTTTCATGAAAAATGACTTTTTTTTCAATTTTAATCATATATAAATGTTTTTGAATCAAGTGCCAATTTTAATATTTTATTTAGTATCATATGTACGAGTATCAAATTTTAATCTTAAAATAATATTCAAGAAAATATTTTCTTTTGTTCCTAAAATTTAAAAATATATATAAATATATATGCAAAATACAAAATGCATTTTAAGTGTGTTTATTATGAATATTTTAGAATGCACGCTTTATTTTGTTTATTCATTCCACATATATTTTTTTTTCCCTGCTATACACCAATATGCTATAAGACATGTGCTAGTTGCATGGTGGGACAAACGGTATCCCACCTTCCCCCGTAAAAAATAAAAGCGCAGAATTTTTTTCAAGCCTTAAAGGCACTTAAGTAAGTCCATCTGACTTATTCTAAGGCATTTTTTTAAAGATTAAAATATATTTTAAATATGCGTGTCGCAAAGGTTAATTAATTTTAAGAAAATATCTTTGAGAAAGCAGAATGAGGTCTAATTGAAGACGATATGAAATAATTCTTTATAACGAAGTAAAATCTTTATTTAAGGAACAATGTTTACACTGAGTTTTTCTGATTAAATTTGTTACAGTGTTGAAAAGTTAATTAAATTCACATAAAAGACTAAAAAAATTAAAAACTTGGTCTTTGGAGAACACATGTTCAAACAAAGTGTATTCAAAATTTGGTGGTTCCATATGC